TGTGTGTGTGTGTGTGTGTGTGTGTGTGTGTGTGTGTGTGTGTGTGTAGGTATCCTATAACTTCCAGGTTCCAATTAAAATTTCAAGCAGGTTATAACTATTATTAAAGGAAAAAATATCAACTAACTGATCTCTATCCCTCTGCTATTCTTTGCTTTCTATGGGTAAGAATGCTCACACTCCCCGAAATCTCTACCCTGATAAAGCAAAGTAGATAAATACAATCACAGTGCACTGCTCAGACAGCATCTCTAACATGTAAGAAAAACCAATAAACTACCTCACCAGTGTCAGTATACAGGGCTGTGATATCATGAGAGATCTCCAGGAATTCACAAAACACTTATTTTGCATTCAGGTTCAAAAATTACAACTATATATGTTTTTTGCAAGAAATTAAATGAATCATAATGAGATCTGAGGAAAACAGAATACTGACTCTAAAGTACTTCACTGAGAGCAACAAAAAAGCAAACAGTACTAATACTATTTTTTCTGAAAGCAGAATCTTTACTTTTACAATTTTTAATGTTTTCTAATATATATGTGTGTATATATGTGTGTGTATGTGTACATATATATGTATATGTAAAATTTGCAAGCATTCCTTTAATTACAGCTAATATATCAGTGGTTAAAAAAAACTTCATACTTTCATGTAACATAGTTAATATAAAAGGCATTTCTGGGTAATAGCAACTATAATTCTAATTAATTCTAATTTATATTTTTTTAAATAAATTTCGTTGTGTATATTTAATGTGTACAACATGATGCTATAAGATACACATATATAGTACAATGTTTGCTATAGCGGAACAAATAAACATATCTGTCATTTCATACAGTTATCCATCTATCTTCCTGTTGTAAATGCAGCTGTAATCTATCCATTTAGCAAAAATCCTAATATAATTCCCTCTACAAAATTACCTATCCTATTAATCTTCTTGAGGGACAGGATTAAATCTTATTCTTGTCTTTTTAATACCCAGCTTCTAGCACAGCATCTAGCACATCATAGGTTCTAAATAAAAGTTGAATTAAAATGATAGTGTCATTATCCTCAGTATTTTATCCGGTAATATTCCTTATGCAAAATTGTATCTACTTGGTTTTACTTCAGAAGGGTGATCATTTCAGCAAAAGTATAGTTAGAATATGCATAATGAGTTCAACTTATAATTATTCCATATACACACATACAATATGTGTGTGTATGTGTATGTATGTATGTTTATATGTACTTCTTGCTCTTATCATAAAACTTGATTCCTTAGCCATACCTTAATACAAAGATAAATAAGCATTTGGAATATGACCAAATTCCTTTAAATTATAATGGGCATAAATAAACATAAATTACACTCTCTTCTTCATTCTGAATTCAAGTCATAGTCTACATAACTTTAACAATAAATTGAAAACAGTATTTTCCTCATTCAGTCTACCAAGTTAGAAGACAGAATGGTAATAAACAGAGTAGAAACTCATTATTACTGCTCTGGGAAGTAACGGGGGAAAAATTCACATTGTAGTCTTTGCACTAGAAGGTAGAAGGAAGAGCTGAATATTGTTAAATAAACACAAGATTAAGGACAATATTTGGCATTAGTATAATTATTTTTGAGCCTGGAATAAAATATATCTTAATATTAACTAAACCATTTAGACTGGATTTTTGTTTGAAGTGCTGGTGAATAGGCAATATACTCAAAAGAAGAAAAAATACACCCAAACAGAATCCTTTAAATTACCACCAGCAATTGTCCTGTTCATGTAACAGTTTATTCTGCCCCTCTCATGATTAAGATCCAGTGACGAGGACCAAATGGGTTTGGAGGCTGCTTCTGGGACTCCATCATTTCAAAGTTGTCCTAAAGCTTAAAACAGACTAAATCTTCCTAAGCCACTATCAGTCATTCAAGATTTGAATAAGCTTTGCTTTGCTAAAACAAGACCTATGATGGTTAACTCTGAGTAAGTCTGTGGTTAACTGTGAGTTCCTAGCAGTCAGAAATAACAGGGAAAATGTGATTGAGGAGATTTTCTCCTTATGTTTTTCCAGTTCACAGATCACAAAACCCTTCCTTATTTCTTATATAATTTAATCCCTCCTGGGAAGGAGCAGAGAAAAATGAGGACGACATGAATATAGAGTCATCACAGTAGCAGAAACAGTGAACAATGTATCAAAGCACCAGGCTATGTGACACATCTGTCTGAAATCCAGTTTTTGCTACATGCTAGCCATTTGAACTGAGCCACATTGAGCCTCAGTTTTCTCATCTGTAGTATGGAAAAGTAAAGTCTGCCTCTAGGGGCCATGGTGAGAATCAGATGACATATTTCAGATCTGTTTGTAAATCACCAAGCACACTGCCAGCTTAGCTTGGTAGGTGTTCAATAAATGGGCCTTCCTTCCTCTCCCCAATCCTGAAAAACATGTTTCTTCCATTTTCTATCTAATTCTCAACATCTTTACAGACCCATTTCAATTTCATTTGTGATCTCCCTAGCCAAAAACACCTGCTCCTATGACACTTTATTTTTGCACCTATTTGGCAGTCATTTAATTTTGTCTCATATTATATATAATTAGATGCATACAGATGCATATATATATGTCAGTCTATACTGGCACTTGGTTTAGAATATCTTGTGAGCAGTGGTCTTATCTGATTCATTTTTTTTTAAATCCTGTTTTCTCCCTTTTGTCCCTACACTAGCACAATAAAACCTACTCAAGGTCCCTGACAAAATGTTTGACTTTTCAAGTACTTTCTCTTCAAAATATTAAGACATATCTGCAGCTTTTGCAATC